TGTCAGAATTTGAATCCTACGTCTTGTTCCTGCACAAGAATGCCATCCAAGTTCTTGTGCCGTCAATTGGCCAGCAGCTGACACTATACCTTGACAGTAAGAAGAAGCCGGAGAAGGATAACAAGAAGGATGACAAAAAGAAGGGAGGCAAAAGACCCGAAACTATGGAGGTTGATGACGATGATCCTGCCCCTGAGTTTGAATTCAATGAGCAGGTTTGTATTTCTGTTTTTATTTCTTTTTCGCTCTCTCTCTCTCTCTCTCTCTCGCTTTCTTTTTGTGTTATATTTTTCATTCTCTCTCTCTCTCTCTCTTTTTTGTGAGTTATATTTTTCACTCCTCTCTCTCACATTTCTTTCATACTGCAATATGCATATGCTATAACGTGCTTGAAGGGATCACTCAGGTCATTCACATCCTTTGTTCTATTTACCAAGACCAAGGACTCCCATAAAATATTGATACCAACAATTTTCCTGTTAAAAACGGATAGCTCATCCCTCTCTCCTCTCTCTACAGGAACTCTACATCAAGTGTGGGCCAGTTATCATTCGTCCCTTTGACCAGCTGTTTATACAAGTTACTGTTGATTCCTCTGACGTCCAGCATCAGCGTGTGGTGTGCAAGCTAATACATCCTGTGATTCCAGGATTCTCTGTCTCGTCCACAAAGGATGATAATGCCCCTAAAGTCAATCTGATTAAGAAGAGGAAAACATAGACTTTGTTGAAATATTGTAGATCCAGGAAGCTTACATTTTTTTTTTTTTTTTTTTTTTTATTATGTAATCATTTGTTTATCGTATTATTTGTTTTCTCTTTCTTTATCTCTTATCTTATGAGAAGTACAAACATTATCTGATATGTTTTGTAATAGACATATATTAGATAGTTTTTTTTTCTTTTTATAATGCTTTTCCATTAGATACACCTTTTATAATTATTATTATTATTATTATTTATTATTATTATTATTATTATTATTATTATTATTATCATTATCTTTTTCCCTCCATATGTACAATGCTGTTAAAATGGAAGCATATATTTTGTAAGTAATTCCAGTAGATCCATTTTCTAATATAAATTTTTTTACCGATGCTGTCGTTTCTCTGTACCTTTTACGAGAAAAGGGAAAAACATACTGATAATACCATATGTAGGATTTATGAATCTCAGACATTTTATAAGCGAAAGATTAAAGTCATATTGAGTGTATTTGGACATTTGATTCAAGCTATCTTGATGAATCATAGCCTCTTGTGAATTTAGTTTTCCTGCATTTTTTCATCATCAATGGGAGGCAGGCAATGCTATGCAGAAATTCTGACAGTGTTTGGTAAATTTCTTCCAGCTGCAGAAACCCAAATCTAACAACTTTTATGCCCTCATGTCCACCTGTGTTTCCCTGTATTATTTAGACAATTACCTCTTCATAGGGCCTTTTTGCCAAGGGACTGGATGTATAAAATGAGAATTCTTGTGATGTGTGGCATGTAAACTTCCTACACCTTCACTTTCCCAAATTCTTTGTGCCTCCTTGTTTTCTAGGAGCAATCATACAAGCACCACCTTGCATTGTTTCTTAATTGTGTGAAAAGGAGCCATTTTGAAATTTCATGATGACTGGGATAAGTGAGGGAACTTTTCATTCGCATTCATTCACTATATCCCAATGGCGCCGGGTGTACAAAAGAAAAAAAAAACTCTACGCTTATACATCACATGTTCTTTAATATTGCCAATTTCCAGATCATGAGCCAGAAGATTCAGAATGTGTGTAGTACAGTCATAGGTAATTGGCTTCAGTTCATTTCCTTGTTCTAACATTTTCTTTTGTTTACATTAGCTGTGTTATTTGCTACCAACATGGCAACCAAGTTCTTTACACTACTGAATTTGCTGATTCTGAGAGCTCTTCTAGACATTCAGCAGTATGAGGCTGGCCACTTGTGTCTATTGTATCCACTAGATATGTATGGCCATTTGGGGTTGTCACAGCAACACGTACAATAGGCTCGTGAATATTAGACCATTCATCCTTCAACTCTGTGGCATACTTTCATAGGAACATGTCTTTGTAACAAATGTGTCCAAAGTTGTTGCTTTACACGTTGAAAAACTTGTGGCAGAAGTTGGACATTCTTTCTGTAATGCTGGAGCTGCAACACTTCTTCGAGGCAGCTTTGGAGTCAGATTTTCAGTCTTACCTGGATTATCCAAATCCTCTTCCAATAATTCTAATTGTTCTCTGAGATTTCATTCTTGCTACTTATCTTTTTAACTCAAGTTTCCCAGACTTTGAAGGAAATCTGTTAAAATGTTCCCATACTTGATCACTCTTCCTACCAGATATATTAAGCCTTGTGGTCAGTGTCATCTCTCAGGAATGAATGGTTGTAACACCCAAACTACTACAGTCACAAATCCAGCCTTGTCATAGCATGATATATATAGGAACAGGAGTCAGGACAGAGAATGATGCAATCCTGGCCAATGGCTACTGGGCTGCTTGACAGGTTCAAACACTTTGTAATTAAGTGAGAAATGATGCAACATGCTGTAAAAATGTGTCTTAAACTAATGTATAGATTATATAATAGCTTTCTAATTATTTTTATGCTGATAAATGGAAAAAGAAAAATTTATTTAAATTCAAAGAATCTGATAAAAAAAGAAAAAAAAGAAAGAAAAACATATTTTTTAAAACTTCTTTTTTTAATTAAAAAAAATCACCAACCTTGGATGTATGGCATATAGGCAACCCTTATAAACATCCAAACAATTCATTACCACTAATACAGCTCTCCATTTTCTATGTATATAAAACTTATAAATGTATATATATATATATATATATATATATATATATATATATATATATATATATATATATATATATATATATATATATATATACATATATATATATATATATATATATATATATATATATATATATATATATATATATATATATATATATATATATATGAAAGATATGTGTGTGGATGTATATTTTATATATACACATTATATGAATATGTATATGTATATGTATATGCAGATGCATGTGTATACGTATAAGTATGAATGGTAAAATACACTACCATGTTGATACTATGGTAGAAAAACCCACAATGCAAAAACTAGATTTATTGTTAATGAGACTACAGTTTCGAAATCTACCTGGATTTCTCCTGAAGAAGGAATCCAGCTGGATTTCAAAACTGGTCTCATTTATCAATAAATCTAGTCGGTACATTGCAGGTTTTCTACTATGTATACATATATTTATGTATGTATATATAAATATATATATGTCTGTATATATATATATATATATATATATATATATATATATATATATATATATATATATATATATATATATATATATATATATATATATGTATATGTATATATATGTGTATATATATATATATATATATATATATATATATATATATATATATATATATATATATATATATATATATATATATATATATATTTATATATATATATATATATATATATATATATATATATATATATATATATATATATATATTTATATATATATATATATATATATATATATATATATATATATATATATATATATATATATTATATATATATATATATATATAATATATATATATATATATATATATATATATATATATATATATATAAAAATATATATATATAAATATATATATAAATATATATATATATATATATATATATATATATATATATATATATATATATATATATATATATATATATATATATATATATATAAAGTTAAAACTTTTTTCACACTTTAATAGCAATTAAGATGATTAAAAATTAATAGCATAATGTAAAAAATTTACAAGCTAACGTTAGTTCCTGATAATCGTGAAATTACCCTTGATATTTATTTATTTACTGAAAATTCTCTGCCGTGTCATCATCTAAGGTCATTAGCAGCGTAAACAAAGAATGGTTCAGTAAGGCAATGCTTGTGGATTTCCAGAGTGGTCAAATAACGCTCACACAGCATTATGGTAAAGCATTGTGGTGAACAGGGAAAATATGATATATGATTTGGATAAGCAGTTAGAAGGAGATAAAGAGAAAGAGAAGGAAAAGGAAAGAGGAAGAAGAAAAGACCATACAAAATTAGCTGATGAGGTCTGAGAGAGGATTGACTGGGGACGTTACCACTAATATACTCTTAAATATGACATCATTTTCAAGATTTAGCAACAGTAGTTTACCTCATTTGCATATATTCTACTCTTTCCTCTTCAGTATGCTAAATATTTTTCCTTATGCATACATAAAAATGAAATTTAGAAAAAAAGAGTAAGTAATTGTTTTATAATCTTTGCTATTTTTTTTTATCAACTGTATGCTCTTTTCATTATAATGATAATCATCATCTCATCATTATTAACATCTTATTGCTATTATGGTTATCACTATTATCTAAAATATAAAGGCAAAAGAAATATATGGTCAATAAAATTCAACTTTATTGGTAACTAGTTGCAATTCACAATATTACATACCTCTCTGTTTTAAGTTAAACAATGTACACAATCTTATGGTGACCCGATTATGGGTAACATTCTGCTACACAAGACTACAGACAATACTAAACAACACAAACAAATAGAAAATGGAATGTTAACATCACATTCACTGCACATGCAAAATAATGTAGAAAATCATACTAATGCCATCTTACAAACTGTATCACCAATCAAATCACATATGCATTTGGCACTAACCTTCCACGTGAGCAAAACACTTATAACATGATTATCTGTTGTGCAGTAAAGAATACAAATTATGCAAAAAAAATCTATTTAAAAAAGATATCAAATGCAAGATTTAAATGCCTTTTTTTTGTATAGAAAAACCTTTTAGTAATGCACAAGAATATGAGCAACTTTTATCTAACACTGGGCTAGCTTGTCCCCATGAGTTCCTATTACTATTCAGAATTAATTATCATATTTTTTCAGCATTAATTTTGATGCTTATTCAATGCAATTATTCACCTTATCCTAAATCGTTTTTTTTTTCAATGTAATCCACAAAGTAACTTGCCTTATGTTTTTCTTCAACAAATAATCATTTGAAGGACAGTATTTGATATCTTAGAAAACAATATATATAAATTCTCAAATAAGCAAAGGGAAAAAGTCGAAAACAAATCAATCAAACAACAATGTTATATTGCACTACTACTAGAAAGTAAAATAAGAATAATGGATGTTATTCTCACATTTTCTTTTCAACTTCTTCAAAACAAAACAAAACCCATCAAAAAAAGAAGGAAAATTATCAATATTTTTGGCACAGCTTTTTAGTAGTTACTATTTCACTTTATCCTGTTTTTTTTCTTCCTTTAAATCTTCCCTGATAATAAAATACATTTCTGCCAAGCCGACTGCCAATGCGGCCAGTGTGGCTACCAGAGCCCTCACTCCATAGTCCTGGGTGGCCATCCCCAATGCGATAAAGACAGCAAAGAAAGTGCCAATAACAGACAAGAGGTACTGAAGCCCTGAAATGATATGCCTATTAACAATCCGCATCTCCTTGCCGATCTCTCCAAGCTGCGTTCCCTCTCCCTGGTAGACGTTATCCACACTTTTGACCATGTCTTTGTAGTCGCGGTTCTCTTGCTCAAACCGCAGCCTTTGAATCCTGGCTTCCAGTTCTGGGCTCCTCGGGGGTGGTTCGTATTTGGGCAAGATGATCTCGCTCTCGGCCAGTAGTTCATGGACGCGCTCGGGGATGCCCCTCTCTCGCATCTTCTCGTGACACCACTTGATATCCTGTGTTGTCAGTTTGATCTCCTTTCCTGCTATGCCCTCACCTGCTGGGATCTTCTGCTGGATGCTCTGTGGGCTCCCAAATGCATCTCTTAACTCTTGCAGAATTTGGACAAACCGTTTGGAGGGGATAATGAGTACGTGATCCTCCATTTTGGTCATGTTAGCCAAGAGTTGTCAAGGCTACAAAAGTAAGTAGTTTCTTTGAGAAATTAGAATCCTGCACTTTTCTCAAGACTCTCAAATTGTACTCTCAGAGCCTGTTCCTTCTCCAGATAGTTGTTTTCAAGGAAGTTGAGTTTCTCTTGTACCTCCTGCTGAGTTGATGTGAGTTTGCTTTTCCTTTCTGCTCTCTTTTTTGCCAGAAGCTCCTCCTAAGGAATCAAAACATTTAATAAAAAACTTCAATTATTGTATACACACACACACACACACATATTGCACACACACTAAACTCATCTGGATTACATTTTTAAATCATAAATCAAAGTAACCTCACCACATCAACAGACCTATGGAAAAAATAAAATAATAAAAAATTTCTTTCTTTAGTTAATTTTCCTCTTATCACATCATTACTAAACCCTCCTTTCTTGAAAAAGGAAGTTCTTACCGAGTCAAATTTCTTCTCAGTATCAATGGTATCTTCTAACATGTGGAGAGCAACTTGGATGTCTGCAATTGTGCGTGGGAGATTGTCATCTGAGGAGTTGACAATCTTCTCAATCTGTAAAGATTACTACACATCATAAACCTAAAAGGCAAAACTGGAAATGGTCAAGTAACCATACTCATGCTGAATAAATATAAAAACATTAATAAAATATATTTCATTTAGCTAATCAATGGTAAAGTTCCTCCTAAAGATAGTCATACCTGCCCTTCCTTTATCTCTGTTATTAGTTCAAGAGATCGGAAGAGTTGCTCCACTTCTCTGTCGCCTCTCTTTTCCTGGAATATTTTAGAAAATTGATATTCACCTTCAGTCTCCATAAAATAAAAACTGCTCTTCAGCCACATCTTTAATCAATTTTGGTCAAGCTACAATCCAATCACCTATTTCAATAAGCCAATTACATGCCTTAAAAATAAATTTATTTTTACCTCAAACTCTTTTTTAAAATACTCAATTTCCCCTTTCAGGAATGGCCGATGATCAAATAATCTTGAAAAAACCTCATTTACATCTGGGGGTGAAAAAAAATTAAGCATTAGTGTAGAATCTAAAATTAATTGTCCACTATCCAACTGGATGCATTAGGCATATTATAAAGATCTTGAACAAGTTTTGACTTATATGGCAAGGATTTTTAAAAATCTCTTCCATGATATAGTTTATCAAATTCACTTATTTCTAAAAAGCATACAATAAAATACATTAATAAAAACAGTAGAAAACTGTATAGCTACAGGCATTTGCGAGATTAATAACACTTGAATCAAACTGTAATTCAGACAGAAACAAGTTAAATATACTTAAATTTTAATATTTTGCCATTTTGTTATTAACTTTTCTTAATACACATGAACCAATTTATAGTAAGTTATTGTATGATAGGTAATGGAAATGAAACTGATCTTGGTCACCAGTTTCATTGGGGGAAAGAATAAGTTGTCCTATAACTGTATTGTGTGGATATACTCAAAGTCATTATTATTCCAGCCAACCTACTTTGGGGCACTCCCAAGGCTTTACGGTTTCTAGTCTGGGTGAAACAATATGGGTAAATTTACACACAGACTAAAAGGTAACTGAAAATGAAAGTGGAGAAATAGTCTTAAATTTGTTCTAAAACATAAACTGGTAAATGAAACACTTAAATGAAATTCAGTCAAGGAAGTTTTGAACTGATGTTGCATACATGAATTCTCTATAATCAAGCACACAGTTTCCATTTTCACTTCCATTGCCTGGCTGAACAACAGCAAAAAATCATAAACCAGAGATAAGTGCATTCCCTAGCCAGGGGCTCTGTCCCCTCCTGAATAACAATATGTCTTTATTGTAGGGCTCAAAGGTGAGCCACAGCTGGGAGGAAGGTGAGGAAACTTTGAGTATCATCATATGTGTGCAGCTGAATCATGGCATTTGGACTGACAGGTTTTGAACTTAGTATGAATTTAGTATGATCCAAAAGATTGTGATAATATGACCAATGCCTTCTTTTACCTGGAATATCTGTAATAGAATTCAGCAAACAGAAAGATGCATTAAAAGCAGACTTTGCTTCAGAAATGTAGAAAAATGACTTGACTAGTCATATTACATCACATTAGCAGGTAAGATGCCTTTGTCTGGCAAGATCAGGTGACCTTTGCTTTGGGAGATGAATGGGTACTGTCACAGAACCCAACATTGTGGGCTAATCACTCACTTTGAAAAGGCTACTGATTATACTTCTCCATGCAGTTTTGTGTATTATATATCACTATCACCATTTTCTTACCACCTTACCACACAGGCAATCCACATGGAAATTCTAAACTCATAACTGAAAGAGTTGCATGTGCATAGCTAATTTAAATCAAAAAGTCTGAGAACTCACAAGAGTAGCAATATCCAGAATAAGGCCACAAGAAGCAATGCTGTGACTTCCATACTTAGACTTACAGCAAAGGCCAACAAATCTCACACATCCAGTCTGATGTGGTTTCCTATCAGTTAAATTGTCAGATTATACTTGGTGGAGGTTTCCTTTGCTGGAAGGTAAAGCACAGAAACTACAGAATAGGACTTAGATAAATAATAGTGGCCATTAGAGTACTTTTACTTTCAGCAGGTATTACTCTTAACTATAATAGATTTGTGTACTTTAAGTTCCCTATCTTCCTTATTTTACCTGTGCGCACTCCTATTCTGAACATCAGGTAGTGAAAGCCAACAGTCGCGACATTACACTGAATATTACCTTAAAACATATTTTCTTCTCTCATGCAACTCGGTAACAAACAATTGCAATTACAATTCCCCTACAATTCCTTCTCTAACATTAAAAAGGTTTTTATCATTAAGTGAAATTTCAAATTCTAAAACCTCTACTCTGTATTGTCTATCACCTCATGCAGACTTTGTAAAAATAGCATAAAACAACTAGAAAATAGAGCAAAAAGTAAATAAAAAATTATCTTTACCACTGGCTGCCGATGCCATACTTGTTTACATCTCAGAGCCGAATGTGTTCGTAATACTAAAGGTGTTTTAATATAAACTTTTAAGATCGTATTTACGTCCTTTATCATATGAATAGGGAGTCCATTAAATTAGGTAATCTATTTTATAGTATTCGTATTTTTATCAGTTTATGAGATGTAAGAGTTTTCATAAATAGGAAATATTGATGTACTAAAGTCAGAGGATAAAGAAACGGACAAAATATCGAGTCACAAGATACGTTCGTGTCTGCGCATGACTAATCCGCGATGACGTCACGATAATTTGCATGTGTAAATGGTGTACTTGATATCGTGCATATTTTAGGGTAGAGTGGATAGGAAGAGTATTTGAAATATAATCTATCGCATTTTTTTCTCTCTGTTTTAAGGAAATTATAATAAAGATGAATAACAATGGTATATACGCATTTCTCTATTTCTCTCGTCTTCCCAATTTTATCTGCTTCTCTCATCCCCATCTCTCTCTCTCTCTCTCTCTCTCTCTCTCTCTCTCTCTCTCTCTCTCTCTCTCTCTCTCTCTCTCTCTCTCTCTCTCTCTCTCTCTCTCTCTCTCTCTCTCTCTCTCTCTCTCTCTCTCTCTCTACTTCTCTCTCTCTACTTCTCTCTCTCTCTCTCTCTCTCTCTCTCTCTCTCTCTCTCTCTCTCTCTCTCTCTCTCTCTCTCTCTCTCTCTCTCTCTCTCTCTCTCTCTTTCTTTCTCTCACTCCCTCTCCTTCCCCCCCCCCCTCTCTCTCTCTCTCTCTCTCTCTCTCTCTCTCCCTCCCTCTCTCCCTCTCTTCTTCTTCTTCTCCTTCTTCTTTTCACATGAGGTTGTTCGTCTGTTTGTTTTACCTTTTCGAAGAAAATCTCAAACATGGATTATTATTACTAATCCTGATGGTGGACTCGTCGCCCTGTAGTTACATTAAACTGCGTGAAGATCCAGTCCTCCAAAACCTTACCCTGGTATATCCCATACAAATAATGCAATGTCTGAATATTTTGACAGCATAACTATTCATTATTGTATGTCCTTAGCATTTCAAGTGGCATATTTACCGAGGATATGTATATGAAAGTATATAATTAACCATCTGAAAATATGTATATTGTGTACTAGAGAAGTGGAATAGAAGGGAAGCAATAAAGAGAGAGGAGATAAACAGCATATCAGATAAATAGAGGGGGAAGGGTAGTGCACGCGCGCGCGTGCGCGTGTGTGTGTGGTTGTGTGTGTGTGTGTGTGTGTGTGTGTGTGTGTGTGTGTGTGTGCGTGAGAGAGAGAGAGAGAGAGAGAGAGAGAGAGAGAGAGAGAGAGAGAGAGAGAGAGAGAGAGAGAGAGAGAGAGAGAGAGAGAGAAAACTGCATTGATATGGTATTGATTAACACATTACAAATAGTCTTATGATTTTTTTTATTATCCCACTGAGATTAACAAATGAGGTAATTTATTCTACATAAACGCCAAACAATTTAGACATATTCACCATTAATACCATCGTTGCCATGTGAGATACCGATATTTTTGCCAACGTTGCCATGGCTAAATTGGACGTTATTATCTAACCCACTGTTGTCGTAATTAGACTGGCTATTTATATTTTGGCCATTGTTGTCGTAACCAAACTGACCATCATTATTTTGGCCACTGTTTCCAAAACCGGCGTGGCCATTGAGACCGGAATTTATGTGGTCATTTTGGCTATAGATGATCTGACCAACATTAGTTTGGGCGCCGTCGTCATAGCTGATTTGACTGTTGTGGTCACTGTTGTCGTAGTTAAACTGAACATTATTTTGACCATTGTTGTCAAAGTTTGAATGGCCATTGCTTTCGTAAACGATGTGACCATTTTGTACATTGTCATTACGGATAATTTGGCCAACATTGATGTGTCCATCGTTACCAAAGTTGATTTGACTATTTTGGCCATTGTCGTAGTTGATTTGGTCTCCATTGTTTTGGTCAATGTCCCCCAAATGACCGTGGTCATTGTTTACATAAGCATTTTGATCATTTTCACCATTCTCGTAGATAGTTTGGTCATCATTATTCTGGATATTATCGCTGTAAATTACATGACCCTCATTATTTTGGCCATGACCCGATTGAATGATTTGGCCGCCATTATTCTGGATTATTTGATCACCGTTGGTATAAGTGGCCTGATCATCAAAACCATGTTGATTATCGTCGCTGTAACTAATTTGGATATTTTGGTCGCCCTTCCCGTGGCTGTCGTGGCTGCTCTGCCCGTCGCTTCCGTAGCTAATCAGCGCGTTTTGTCCCTCGCTGCCCAGACTTGTTTGGACGTTGCCGTAGCTGAGGTGGCTCGACTGGCTGGCGCTGCCGTAGCCACTTGTTGAAGTTGCAGCATTCTGGCCAAGCCCGCCGTAGCCGACGAAGCCCCCGCCCACACTGCCGGACCCATAACCTGTCTGGCCGCCCAACTGGCCATAGGTTCCCTGGCCACCGTGGCCGCCGTAACCCTTCGCCTTGGCCACGGCGGCGGCGGCTGCAGCCTCGGCTCGGGCAGCGGCTGCGACCGCCCCGCTCAGATCGCTGATCGCAAGTTGCTGCTGAAAATTGAGGCTGTTGGAGATCTGCAGAGCCTGCCAGGCCATGGCGTCCTGTGAGACCTGCACGGCCTGCGCGGCTTGGAGAGCCTGCTCCGCTTGTGCCGTGACTGCCTGGACCTCCGCGTGGGCCGCTTCCAGCTGGCGGATCAAGGAGAGCGCCTGGGAGTACACGTTCTCCGCCGACGTAGTTGCAATTGCAGCTTTGCCCGCCAGGGACGACTCCGAGAAGAAGGCCGCCTGGGCGCCCTGGAGAGCTTGGGTAAGCTGAGCCACGTCAGCTTTCTGCTGGTCTGCTGCCTGTTGAGCCACCTGTGAGGCCGCTGATGCTGCCTCGGCCGCCTCTCCCGCCGCAGCTGAAGCCGCAGCTGTAGCAACAGTTTTCAGTCCCGCAGCAGCAGCAGTGGCCTCCGCCGCGGCCTTGTTGGCTGCCTGTGAGACGCCTTTGGAGAGATGGCCTCCGGTGCCGGCGCCCACGACCAGGTACCCGCCCCCTGCGCCGTCGCCGTGCCCATTGCCTCCAAGGGAGCCCCTTTTTTCCTACGAGAAGACAAAACATTGGGACTTTTAAATGCTGTACTATATGAATAAATAAAAAGTAAAAACTCAAAGTGTAAAGTAATCTTGGATGTTCCAAATTTGCAGATCATGTTCACGGAATTTCGATATACTTGCCCTCTGAGCGTCTTCAGTAGAGTTGGTTGCTGCCGCTAACCCTGTAGTGGTGAGTATTAAAATAGTGTTACGAAATTCGAAACTGTAGTAAAACAACAATAATAATGTTAGTTAGAAAGAGTAATGATAATAACGATGTAAAAAAGGTGATAGCAAGGAAAATTTAATCACTGTTAACATTATCTACATAAGTTATTGTTTCTATGATCATTATCATAATGATAATAATAATAATAAGAATAAGAAGTATTATTATTATCATTATCATCCTCATTATTATCAATTTCATCATTTTAATGGGTATTATTATTATCATAATTATAATAATGATAATCATTATTATTATTACTATTATCATTATTATCATTATTAAAATTATCATTATTATTAATATTATTATTATTATTATTATTACTAGTAGTATTAATATCATTATCAATATTGTTATTATCAATTGTATTATTAACGTTATTATTACTATTAGTATTGTTACTGTTAGTTTCATTATTATTATCATTATTATTATCATCATCGTCACTGTCATTAATACCATCACAATTATGACAATTCATAATGATATATAAGCTACTATAACCACCAACAGATAAACAATTTCGCACCAGCACAGAAGCAGAGAGTTATTAAAGTTCTCATGACCGCCATGATTCCAGAAGTGAAGATGCCAATACCTCTTTCGAATCCGTCTTTATATACCTGGTTGAAAATGGTTACCAGATAGCGCATTATTTTTTTTTTTCTTTTTTTTCTTCTTTTTTTTACTTATCTTTTGTTTAATATTGTCTTATCATCTTATTCGTGGCGATGCTGAAGCAATCAGATATAAGAGAGAGAGTGATGAGTGGCTCATGAAAAGGTTCTCGGAAAGTTATTACAATGCTGTTGTGATGTAATCTCCGGCTGGCATTGTTTAGGGGTGAGGAGGCACACCTTGTAGTCAATGGGGTACAATATCGAAGGTTCCAGAAAAAAAAATACCGTAACATGAATAAAGACGTTCTGAATGCCTCAACTCGTACGTATATTACACACACACTTGTGTATGTGTATGCATGTATGTGTATGTGTATGCATGTATGTGTATGTGTATGCATGTATGTGTATGTGTATGCATACCATGTGCACACACTTGAGTGCACATGACATCCTCATCCTCATCCTTATCATTGTCATCATCATCATCATCATCATCATCATCGTAGTAACAATAGCAGCAACTGTAATAACAACAACAATGGCAATGAGGATAATAATGATAGTGATGATGATGATAATGATAATAATAACATTGATAATAATAATAATTATTATTATTATTACTATTATCATTATTATTATCATTATTATTATTATTATCATTATTATTAATATTATTATTATTATTATTATTACTAGTAGTATTAATATCATTATCAATATTGTTATTATCAATTGTATTATTAACGTTATTATTATTATTACTATTAGCATTGTTATTGTTAGTTTCATTATTATTATCATTATTATTATCATCATCGTCACTGTCATTAACATCATCACAATTATGACAATTCATAATGATATATAAGCTACTATAACCACCAACAGACAAACAATTTCGCACCAGCACAGAAGCAGAGAGTTATTAAAGTTCTCATGACCGCCATGATTCCAGAAGTGAAGATGCCAATACCTCTTTCGAATCCGTCTTTATATACCTGGTTGAAAATGGTTACCAGATAGCGCATTATTTTTTTTTTTCTTTTTTTTCTT